AAACAATCAGAAGCGGACAAAACTGAAAGTGAATATTTCATCTCAACACTTGCGGATTTAAATGCACAAATGGATTGTTCTGACAATGAAGTCGAGGATGATGCAGCATTAATGGAACATAAAGTGATGGATTTACGGCCTACTTCTGGAGGTAAGACTAAACTTTACTCCGTTCAGCAGATTAACAACTTTCTTGACTTTACAAAACCCATAATTGAGTCTTATTTTCCTGATTTAAAACTGTTTCTGCTGTCTGTTACAATGGCAATGTAAAAAACATCTATATATAAACTTGACAAACCTAAAAGATATCGTCTGAGAAAACGTATGGGTAATAATAGAATCTTTTCCCCAGACTAGACAATATACATGGATGAAAGTAAACCGCAACTTGATTTCTGGAGCTAGGTTAGATAGGATTTATGTTCAAAAAAAGTAAAAGAAGCCACTTTTATAAGAGCTGTATTGTTCCTACTGCTTTATCTGATCATCACGTCATATCTAATGATATAACCACTGCAGAGAGCTCTTCTAAGCATGCATATTGGAAATTTAATAGCAGATTATTATTAGATCACAACTTTGTGCACTCTTTCACTTATTTCTGGGAGATCTGGAGACAGAGAGAAAAAAACACAATATAAGTCCCTGAATCAATGGTGGGACATTGGCAAAATTCAAGTCAAACTGTTTTGCCAGCAGTACTCTGGTTATTTTAAAAACTCTCTAGCCAATGAGATGGCACAGCTTGAGCAAGAAATTCTCCAACTTAATTTTGAAGGTGACATTGTTGATTCTGTGGAGACTTTGGAACGTAACAAATTTCTTTTGTGGAATTTGTTGAAAGAAAAAGCTCAAGAAAGGATTGTTCATTCAAGATTTACGTCTTTTAATAGTATGGCTGCCCCTACATCTTTTTTTTTGGCATGGAGAAAAAGGTTGTAGATAAGAAGATTTTAAGCTGTATGAAATGTCCAGATGGAAAAAGGATTATTGATGCTCATGAAATTATTTTACACACTTTGTCCTTTTATGAGGAGTTGTACAGTGCTGAACCATGCAATGAAGAAATGGCTGATGTTCTCCTTCAGGATTTACCACATTTTTCAGATAAAGAGAAATCCATGATGGATAAATTATTGACTTTTGATGAACTCTCTACAGCTGTTCAGGAGATGTCTTCAGGCAAAACTCCAGGACGAGATGAACTTAATGCAGAATTTCGAACAGTTTTGGCCGATTTTTGGAGAAGATTTGTTTGCTGTTTTTATAGAAAGCTTTAAAAGGGGCACACTTCCTATGAGCCTTCGTAGAGCTGTAGTCACTCTTTTGCCAAAAAAAAAGGTGATCTTGAGGACATCAGATGCTGGCGTCCAGTCTCCCAACTAGGGGTTGGTTAAAATATACTTTCAAAGTGTCTCACGCATAGAACTAAACTTAACATTTCCTCAGTAATTCATGCAGATCAGTCATACTGCATTCCAAGAAGGTCTATTTTCGATAACAATTTTTTTTTTGATTTGGTACTTAATTACTTTTGCTAAGTTATCTTGATGTTGGCTTTCTTTCTTTGGACCAAGAGAAAGCTTTTGATCGGTTAGATCATGAATTTCTGTTTAAGTGCCTTAAGGCATTTGGTTTTGGCCCATCTATTATTGCCCTTATAAGACTCTTTTATACGGACATACGCAGTATGCTAATAATTAATGGCACTTTAACAAAACCCTTCAGATTGAGTATCGACATACGGCAGGGGTGTGGCCTCTCAGGAATTCTGTATGCCATTTCAATTGAACCTTTACTGATTGCACTAAGAAATAAGTTGAGTGGTATATCAACAGTTTGCTCATCTACCTTGGAACTAGTAACAACCAAACGTGGTGCTTATGCAGATGATGTGACTGTTATCATTAGATCAACTTAGGATGTTAGGAACCTGAGTACTTCTCTGGTGGTTTATCAAAAATGGGATGAAGAATGGGATGGTATTTTTGAAAAAGTTGTTGGACGGTTGCAAAGGTGGAAATGGATTCTCCCTCAATTATCTTATAGAGGAAGAGTGCTTATCATTAACAACTTGGCAGCTTATGTTGTGGCACCGCTTAAATGTGCTTGAACCACCAAAAGAATTGCTAAAGCGACTACAGAAGATTTTTGTAGATTTTTTTGGGATGGATACCATTAGCTTCCCTCTGCAATCCTTTACTTGCCAGTAAATTAAGGGGGTCAAGGAGTGATTGATTTGGTAGCTAAGGTTAAAGCTATATGTTAAGGCTAAATGCAGTCCAAAACCTACTCTGCTCTGTAGATGCTAGACCTTGGGTGTTTTTTGGTAGGGCTCTGCTCAGGTCTTTTGGTGGTTTTGGCCTTCATAGACATCTGTTTCTATCGTCTTCTTATGATGGAAATTTCTCAACTGATTTAAAATTTTATGCTTCTGTGTTAAGCGTTTGAAAAGGGTTTAAACTGATTAGACATGAAAACAATCATTTTGGTCTTGAAGAACCACTTTTTAATAACTCACTTTTAGAAGTAAATGTTTGCACATACAATACAATTGTTAAATCTTTTATGGAGAAGAAATTAATCAAAATTTCAGACTTGATAAATACTTAAACTAAAACTTGGAAGTCAGAGGTTGACATTTGCAATCAGGCCGGTTTTAGATCTGTTAGGATGGTAAAGCAGCTCATTGGTGGGGTGAAAACAGCTTTTCCCTCTACACTTCTCCTGTTTGCCAATTGTTTTTTATCTGGAGGTCCTTCTAAAGTACCTTTTCCTAAGTTATTTGTGTCTCCCAAGGGCTGTGTTGAAGATGATCGGAAAGAAAAACTTCTGAAATTTAATAACTTACAAGAAATAGATTTTTAGGTGGCAGGAAAGAGAGATCTATATCAGATTTGTATTAAAGTAGCCTATTTTTAACAGATCAAAGACAGAGCTGATACAAAGTAGAGAAGAGTTTTAATTGTCCCTGCTGAACTTCCTCCCTCTTAAAGGCTTTTACTTTTACTTTTAGGTGCTTTTATTCAAAGGTCCTCTGACTAAACAATCAAGGGATTTGCAATGGGAACTATTATATTGTGCATTGCCCACTAATTCTCATACTTCTAAATGTAACCCAAATGTTTCCTCATCAAGCATATTATGTTCTTTGCCAGAATCTGTTGTTCATGCTTTAACTGAGTGTTTCAGATTGGATCCATTATTTACTCTGTTAAAAGTCATACTACTGAACTTAGGTTTTGTTTTTACCAAAACACTCTGTTTTTGGGTGTAAATACTTAAGAATGCACAGGCAAAAGTGTACAGTAGCAAATTTCACAATTGGACAAGCTAAATTAGCCATCTGAAAGTCATGTAGACTAGCTGCTGAGGGGCATAAAGTAAATCTTCTTCAGCTTTTCTTAGCCTTGGTGGAATCCAGAATAAGAATTGAACATAGATTTTTTTAATGACAAAATAATTTACTTGAGTTTAAATGGTTAGTGTCACTTTGTGAGGATGGGCAAATAATATTTAATTGATGATACATGATTAATTTTATGTGTAATTAATTGTTTGTGTGTATGGTTTATTAATAATTTATTTTATTTTTATGTATATATATATTTAGATTTTTTTTTTTTTTACCTTTTTTTATCTGCTGAACATTGTTCAGTGAGACTTTGTGTGAGGTTTAATGTAAGTTTTGGTTTTAGATGTTTTAATAAAGTGTGTCAGTCTCTTTCTCTCTCTCTCTCTCTCTCTCTCTCTCTCTCTCTCTCTCTCTCTCTCTCTCTCTCTCTCTCTGTGTGTGTGTGTGTACGTGTGTGTGTGTGTACGAGTGTGTGTGTGTGTGTGTACGTGCGAATGAGAGAAGTATCCTGTGCAGAAGAATACAAACAAGACAAACAGGTGACCGCGAACCTAAGGTTGCATATAAGGTATTCACTGAATGGTTTACGCACAAGCCAACAGTTTGGTGAAGATGTCTGAGCCTAGTCATATATATATATATATATATATATATATATATATATATATATATATATATATATATATATATATATATATATATATATATATATTTTTTTTTTTTTTTTTTTTTTTAATTTATTTATTTATTTATTTTTTTATTATTACACATAGAAAAATATGGAGGTATGGAGGAGGTTTGACGGTATCAAAATTTGGATACCGTGTAAGCCTACCCTGGCGTGGTCATTAACATAGCTGAATGTTTGGGGGGCATAAAAACACCTCGCATTGGGTCAGAAAAGCCCGATACTCTGATGTAGCCGATGTAGACTGGCCTGAGTAGTGTAGGAGGTTGATGATCCTGGGCTCTGGGAAATGTGTTTATGAGTCAGGTGCTGAGGTGGAATCGTGTCCCAGGCCCCGCAGTTAGGCAGTCAGCTCCATTACCAGGGCAGATAAGCTCTCCACGGTGTGCCTGCCATCTGACAGCTCCTCCTCATTCCAGCCGAGCATAACGCCCTGCATCTCCATGGCGGAGAGAATGGGGGACTTCTCTATAGGCTCCATCAGATGTGGCCAGAATACTCTGTCAGTGCTGGACAGAAAATGCAGAACAGAGGATGACAAAATAATTTATTGTTAAGTTAACTAAGGCAGCTGTTGTTTTCCGGCTGTCACTGGGGGACTGCAGACTGGATTAAAGACAATGGAAAACTTCACCCTTGAAGATGGCTGGAAAGTACAGTGGAGTGAGGAGCAGGATGCAGAGAGAACCGCTGTTGCAGAGCGTGCTCCTATCAGCCTGTGCATGCATAGAGTTTCATGACAGAACTTTGTATTACCATCTATTTTTGAACTTGTAAATGCTATTACCTCTTTGTTTGTTGTATACCTCTTTATTTGATCAATTGTAAATCAAATTGAATAAAAAAACAAGATAAGTGTATTAACGAAGCATATAACACCTCCACTGAAACCACAAAAAGTCTATAATTAAAATGATGACCTAATTAATGTATTTTGTTTGTTTGTCCTTTAAGTAAATGATGTTCGCAATGCAGCATTGTGTGCAGCAACCTATATGCTGTTTGATAGAGATGATCAAGTGATGCAGCAAAACATGGCCTACTACAGATTCTACAGAGAACAGTGGGGACTGCAGGATGAGCATTTTAAACCACGTCCAGTAAGTAGAGATAAACGTACACAAACATTAGCTCATATGGAAATAAGAATTATTAATCAACTAGTTCTAATTAAACAGATATAAACAGACTAGATATATTTGTGAGTGTCTAAATCAGGGGTGGTCGAACTCAGTCCCGGCCCTGTCCTGCAGAGTTAGGCTTCAACTTTTTGCCACACAGGTTTCTAGTACATCTATTAAGAGCTTGATTAGCTTGCTTCCACATTTCATTCAGTTCAGTTCCAGTGCAGCATCGCAATTACTGTATGAGTACGGCACAGGAGAGGATGATATATTACTCTTGCTGTTTACAATAGTTTCCTCATATTACCGTCAAGGATATCCCATTCATGACATTTTTTGCTACTTGAAACAAATGCATTTTGGATCATTACTGTAATCTTATCAATCTATTATTATTGTAAATAATCTTTAAATCTTTTAAAAAGAATGGTACACCTCAACATCATCCAGGTCACCAATTTTCTCCTCGTTCCTGACCGAGGAATTGTTTTATTGTCCCCCCTCGCACCCCTGTGTTCTCCCCTTTGTAGCAACAGAAATCGGCAAAAGGATCAGGTTGACGCTTAAGGGGGGAGGGGAGGATGACAGACCTGCCTGTGTGGTTTCATCATTGCAATGTAAACGATACCCTCACCTCAATCAGTACGTCGATCAGGGTCAGGTAAGGCACATCAAGAGAGGGGAATATAAAGCCATGGTCACACTGTACTTTTTACCACTGCAATTTTCGCATGTCGCTTCATTAGAAAATTCAAGCTTGGTGAACTCTGCCCTTCAAAATCGCATCATGTGATTGTTGAAATTTAAAATATGGAGCAATTGCTTCATCTTGTTGATGACAGAATTTTGCAAGCACAATTTCAAGTATTATTGCAGCTTTAGTCACAACGCTACAAGAAGGTGCACAACCAACAGGAACCAACCAACAGTATCTGAGCTAAAATTACTAAGTACAAGCATGAAAGTGAAAGATTAAAGCAGTGTACTGACGCTTTGACATGTTACCTGATAGATTTAAAAGTCCAAAGAGTTGTTAGATCGAGACAAGATTAATTATCACATTTAACACCTATAGTGAGATGCACTGCATGACTGTGTGTGCATGTTTGCGTGTGTGTGTGCGCATGCATGTATGTATGTGTGTGTGTGTGGTCACATGTTGTGCGTTTTCAGCCCTATAGTGTGGAAGGAGGGCTTTTTAGAAATGTTAGTTAAAACGCTAGTGTTGACGTAAATCATTTTCGTTATAAAATACCATGTAAAAACTAAGATGTATTGGTGTAGACAGGGGTGTGTGTATTTTCTGCAAGCGGGTTGCTGCTGCGACGGGTGCAGGGTGGAGGATCGCGATGGCGATGATCGAGATCGCAATGGAAGATTCGTAGTCTTCCTCTCTCCAGCTACTGATACTCCAGCTACTGGCACTTTACTCCCTACAATGGACTTGCATGAACTGGGACTTTGGCGGTACTATGGACCCTTCCCCTTTACACCCAGCAATTCCTACACCCCCACATTGTAAAAAAACAGCCTTTCGATATTTCACTATGTCTCAGTGTGATTGTTCACCTCCAATAAACACACTTGTCTGAGATTCTAACGGAAACACGTCAGCAGCATTCGTGCATAGAGAATCAATTTGGGGTTGGAGTGGGACCCTGATTAGGTTGTTCTTGTATGTGTGTTTAAGGTTAGAGCTAAACTCTGCAGGACACCAGCCCTCCAGGATGGAGTTTGGGGATCCCTGATCTACGACTATGTACATAGATTGACAAGAGCATTGCAAGTAAACTTAAATAACAAGACAAATTAATAGACAACACAGTAGTGACAAATACCATCCAGGGAATATGCAGGTTAATTCATAGACTGGTGTGTGAATGAATTAATAGAGATATGTCATGTTTTGTAGAAAGTGTGTGTCTTTCTTTTTATGGCCTGTATTAAGGAGATTGGATGCAAACTCAAATCCTAAACCTTATATCTAAAAACTTAATCTGAGTTCAAGTATTGGGGTAGCAAGTATACCACTTATTTTTTAGGAAAGGGGTGCTGTGTGTCCGACCATTCTCAGATGTGTCACCGTTGATAAAAGTTGTGGTTTATATACATTTATAAAAAAAAACATCCTAGTCATTCTGAGATGACCTTATAATAGACATTCATTCTAAAATGTAATGTTTGTTCATGTTGTGTTTCTTTCACTACCGTTTTAACATGTTGGTCTTTGTGTCCACACAGGAAGCTCTTAAATACTACAATCTAATTACCAAACTGAGGGAACTGCTGGAGTTTGCAAATAATTATTTACAGACGGACGATGAGGTAAATTTCATGTTCATCATTAAATAGCAAAGCCAAATCAAATAACCTAAAATTATTTAATTTACATGTATCTGTGTGTGGTGATCTGTGCAATAAGAAAGTGTTATGACCACTTTTTATGAGCACCTAAGTTATTTTTAATGAGAGGCTATATAGCCAGAAAAGTAGGGTACAAATAATGAAGATGACGCTGTAAACTACTTACCCATCTCCGTCAACAAAACACACTAGTCTAAACAGTAAATTCTCTCAGTTAAATACCTATCACCTGGAAGTGAATCACCATAATACAAAATAAGGGCTTTTATACTAGAGATGCTCCTATTGATATGATCCATCTGCATACTTTATTCTTTGTATTGATTATAGGAAGAGCATGTACAACTGCATTTACCTGGGCATGGATAAGCTCTCTGTTTATTTACACTCTTAAAAGAAACGGTTCTATATAGAACCAAAAATGGTTCTATCAAGCGCTTCATATATGGAACCCCAAAAAGGTTCTAAATAGAACCATTTTAAGGGTTCATTAAATAGAACCCCAAATGGTTCTTTCACTCTTAAAAGAAATGGTTCTATATAAAACCAAAAATGGTTCTATCAAGCGCTTCATATATGGAACCCCAAAAAGGTTCTAAATAGAACCATTTTAAGGGTTCATTAAATAGAACCCCAAATGGTTCTTTCACTCTTAAAAGAAATGGTTCTATATAAAACCAGAAATGGTTCTATATAAAACCAAAAATGGTTCTATCAAGCGCTTCATATATGGAACCCCAAAAAGGTTCTAAATAGAACCATTTTAAGGGTTCATTAAATAGAACCCCGATTGGTTCTTTGATTTCAAGTTACATGGTTCTATTTAGAACCATTTGAGGGTTCTTTATTTATTATTGAATTATAGTTATTTATTATTGAATAAAAAATAAAACCAATGCAGAAAATTCTAATTGTTTAAATTTATTTAATTTACTTCACAAAATTATTTTTAAATAATATTTAAAATTGCACCTCTGCGTACTTTGTATAAGATCTACCTCTAAACATTTTACATTTTATTATTTAATTAGTAAACACAATTAACAGCTTAATGGCATTCAACAATCTAATTTTAATTATTTCACTTTTTAATAAACATTTGTTAGCTTGTTTACTGATTGAACAAATACAAAACTTAACTTTCAAACATCTCTAAAATGAAGAAAAATGTATTACAATGCAGATAGAAACAATACACAAACATCCATGTTTATACATAATTTTCAATGAAAGTTATTGGAGAAAGTGCTTAATGGCATACAAAACATCGCTAAATGATTAGACAAAACACTGAGAACAGCCATTCCACAACCTGTAGCATGTCCATGTTTGCCGGCCTCTCTTATAACATAAATAGTTTTGTCCATGGGTGGCACAGTGGCTCACTGGTTAGAACTGTCACCACAGCAAGAGGGTCACTGGTTCAATGCCGGACTGGGTCAGTTGGTGTTTCTGTGTGAAGTTTGCAAGTTCTCCCAGTGTTTGTGTGGGTTTCCTCTGGGTGCTCCGGTTGCCCCCACAGTCCAGAGGCATGCGTATGGTATTGGTGAATTGGCCATAGTGAGTGAATGTGTGCAGGTGTATGAGAGAGTATATGGGTGTTTCCCAGTGCTGGGTTGCGGCTGGAAAGTGAAGAGTAATTCTGTGTAATTCTGTGAAATTCTGTGTAGTGTAGTTACCTTCTGTGGTTTCCTCTGCTGGTCCAATGAGACTAGCATAGAGCACTTCCTTCTTTCCTTCCCTTCTTTTGGGCCATTTCTTTTAAATATATTTCTTAAGTCCTTATAGGCAGCATCCTAAATAAAAACATTTTGTTTACTTTGTGTAAGTTTCCAAGTGACACATTTTTTAGCAATACAAGTACTTTAAAGTCATCAAAATACAGTGTAGACAGCTGGAATATATTTTCTATTTAATCTGCATTTCATTTGTTACAGAATTTAATGAAATTGACAATTCTGAGTGACAATATTCAGTATGTACATTAAATAAAACAATAAAATTAGAATAAGAACAAAACAAAATAACTGTATATCAAATAACATACATTATATTTGGCAGATACTTTTATCCAAAGGGACTTAGATTGTGTTTAATCTATACATTTATTTATATGTGGGACCTGGAACACATTTGGTATCACTAATGCATTGCTTTACCAAATGAGCTTTAAAATGTCATATACACAGATTTTTCATATCTATTTGGCACACAATGTAACAGTGTTTGGTTACTCACAAGCTGTGGCACTCCAAGAAGAAGAAACTGCTCCATTAGTTTTGCAGACCCCTCCATAATCTGTACTCTGGAAAATAGTGTTTCACTTGGTTCTTGACTTATTCGTAAATGGTGTCGCATTCTAGGTCCATCACAATCTAAGGTAGGAAGACAGCATTTGTGGAGTGTGTAAATATGAATTTAAATCACAGAATTAATCTTGACATAAAATGTATTAAAATTAACTTGCCATGTGTTAAGTCCCTTAGAGTCCAGTTCACTTCCTTTTGATCCCATCATTATGAGCTCACCACTGAAATCCTTTCATTTTTAAATTTATTTTGAAGACATTGCAACAAGGTATCCTGTATGCAAATTTACACCTTTCAATACATATGCAACGACCTTAATATTCTCACTGTATTAAAACAGCAGCAATAAGTAATAGAATATTTTTGTGACAAATATATTATTTCAGTACACAACAACCAACAAGTCTGAATTATGCATGTTATAAAATACAATACTTTACCAGGTGTGCTTGAAGATGATGTCAAACAATTATGGATGTGACACATGTTTTTCTTTAGGCTGGGATCCTTTTTCTTCAAAGTTACTTGTGTCCTGCAGACCAAAGTTGGGAACTTAATATGGGTCCCATGACACTTTGCTGTAATGATAAATACAATCTTGAAGTCTTTTATAATATTTATTTCATTTTACTGACCACAATTCAGTTTGTATGGATTTTAAAACAATGATACATACCAAGCACAAGTTTTATGATGCAGTTCAGTTTCCAGGCTGTTTGAAGAAAAATAAAATATACATTAAAAAAAATAATTTTTTGAAACTTATTCAGCACAATATATATATATATATATATATTATATATATTATTCAATGCTATCAGTGGATTTTAATACACAAATGGACTTTTCGTTTCAGAAAGCCAATCATCTGAAAGAGCATATAACGGGCCAATGAAATGCCAAATGAGTTGGCAGTGTAAGCTTGCGCACGTGTGCCTTATTGCCAATTAGCTCCGCATATAAGTACAGAGAAAGCAAGGAATGCCATCCTTTTCGCTTCAGAGACTTTTACAGCCTTCTGAGAGAGTCGATGAGGGTTCCTCCTGTTGTAATCCAGCGATTTGAGCGAACGAGAGTGGTCTCCCGGTCCAAAGTGGGAACACGCGGCGGCAAATGGTCGAGCTGGGATTCTCCCTTGCCAGGCATTTTTTGGGTCTGGTAGCGGGCACTCGGGCAGATCTGAGGTTTTCATCGAGAGATAAACCGTCGCCTACGGGCCCGCGATCCCGCTCCTCAAAGCGTTCCATCCAAGCTTCGGGCGGACCGACTAGATGGGTGCTACATAGAGGACCAGAGGGCAAAGCCTCTCGTCCCCTTCTTCCTGGAGGTGCACAGTAGGCTAACGCAGGGCACCTCTTGGAGGGCACCTGTCTCTGCCCGCGCTGCGTGTTCCTCCGCCCTCACGGTGGAGCGGCCATGGGGTATGAAGCAATTCCTCCGGTCGAGCGCGCCATTGCCGTCAATCTTTGTCCGCGTGGCGCCTCTTCTTGGCAGGGTCCGCCTCGTGTCCCGTCCAAAGTCTGTAAGTTATCTGCCTCCCTCGGAGCTAGAGCTTACAAGGCTGCGGGCCAGGCTGCTTTCACCTTGCACGCGATGGCCAACTACCAGCATTACCAAGCGCAGGCGCTGGCCGAGCTGCCGAGGGTGGGTCCAACCCGGGCTTGTTACATGAGCTTCAAACCGCAACCGACTATGCTCTTCGGACCACTAAGTCCGCTGCGTGTGCGTTGGGAGGGACAATGTCCACATTAGTGGTCCAGGAACGCCACCTCTGGCTAAACCTGGCTTTTATGTACCAAGTCGACAAAGTTCGCTTTCTTGACTCCCCCATATGCCAGGCTGGCCTGTTCGGCGACACCGTCGGTGAATTCACCCAGGAGTTCAAGGTGGAGTTTGGGTGCAGAGTGAGAGCGAATCTCTCGCCTCCAGCTCCTCCGCGGGACCCTCGCGCTTCCCGGATCAGCACACCCACTCCGCGCTGCCCCACTGCTGGTACATCAGCGATTGTAGCAATGAGTCCATTAGTGAGAGCTCTGCCTGCCTGGTTAGCACGGCCAGCCCTTCGCGGTGGCTCATACGCACAATCAGACTGGGCTATGCGATTCAGTTCGCGAAACGGCCCCCCAAGTTTATGGGTGTGTATTTCACCAGGGTCAGCCCCCTGTCTTGCGAGAGGAGATTGCTGTCCTACTGGCGAAGGATGCAATCGAGCCGGTCCCTCCAGCTGAGATGGAGAGCGGGTTTTACAGCCTGTACTTCATCGTACCCAAAAAGAGCGGTGGGTCACGGCCAATCCCAGATCTGCACGTTTCGAACCGCTGTCTGCACAAGCTGCCGTTCAGACTGCTCACACAGAAGCGCATCCCTTGGTGCGTTCGTCCTAGGGATTGGTTTGCAGCAATAGACCTGAATGACGCGTATTTCCATGTCTCCATTCTTCCTCGCCACCGTCAGTTTCTGCAGTTTGCCTTCGAAGGTCGAGCTTGGCAATACAAAGTCCTCCCCTTCAGGCACTCTCTGTCTCCGCCTCCACCTGTTGGGGTTTCAGGTCAAGAGAGAAAAGAGCCAACTCGCCCCGGGCAGAGGATCACTTTTCTCGGGTTGGAGCTCGACTCGGTCACCATGACAGCGCGCCTCTCCGGGGAACGCGCT